CCCAAAAATAAAAAAACATTGAAAAAAAAAAAATTAAAAAAAAAAAAGAAAATAAAAAAAAAAAAAAAAGAAAACTTGAAAGCGTTTGATACCTGGAAGTGCAAGAAACAAGTCAAGATGTGGTGAGTCATTGGCACAAATGGCTTCTTTTCTTGAGCATATTCATCCTGCCTATAATTTGTATTTTCCCCTTTTGGCAATAGAAGTAATCTTAGCTTTCTTAGAGTCATCCTTAATTAGGAGTTCTTCCCCTCCTGGGGGAAAGTTTCTAATTTCCCAATAGATAAAGGAAGCCCGGGGAAGGTCTGCAGCGTGTAGGAGGAAGGTACCCTAGCAAGAGTTGTTTGCTCACTTCAGTTGAGACCCAGCGGATTAGGCAGTGGCAGGTCTGAGTTTTCTGCAAGCCTTTCTCATTTGAAAAGACACTGCAGGTTTGTGAAGAACCATTCTTGAGCTAATTGGTTTGAAGATCAGGTGACTGATAGGTTACTTTCAACCTAGAGGAAGGAGAAACTAAGAATGATTAACATTCCAAGATTATTTCATTCAGGCAACCCTGAAGATCCATTTCTCTCCTGGAATCTTTGTTCTAACATTTGCACTCACTGTTTGGAGACAGCTATCTCTACCCATGTTTGTTTTCTAACATATGACCAATTTTAGCCAATGGAGTGTATATCATGGATCTCAGAGGTTAATCTTTTCCCTTTCTTGTCTCCTCTCCTTCCCAGACATGCATTCATTTGACTGGCAGCCTGGAAAATTGAAAAATGCCACAGGGGTTATTAAGGTTGAAATCGTTTCTGCTCTTTGAAGCTCTGCAAGCTAGTTATTGCTGCACCTATAATATCCAGGCATCAGAATAACACGTATTGTTCTTAAGCTTGCTTGACACAGGCCCATATCAGCTGTAACACCCAGATAGAATGAAGGGGTCTCAAGATGTCATTTCTCCACTCTGAAGTATATCCCTTTAGTCGATTAAAACAGAGTCCCTGAAGTTATTAGAATATATTCTGTGTCTTTCTGCACACACGTTTGATTTACTTTTGTTCTTATTAAAAGGGTAAGCCTAGAGAAAAGGAGAAAAGAGAATCTTCCATAATCCATATTTTAATAATTGCCTGAGTGCACATTTACTCTACAGAGACTTTCCTGTTTCTGTAACTATTTACTTGGCTCTTCTGCAAAATGTGTATTACTTACCTGGCCTGGTAGACCATGACATAGCTTCTGGACTATCATGTAATCCCGCATTTGGCTCCCCCTGAGCCATTAGGATGTTTTGAGTCTGTCTGTAGGATGGAGATATTATTTTAATGGGTCTTTTTTTCACAATAATGGCTCCATATTGTATAAATTGTATTGAGTCATTATGATGTTAATACATAAATATTAAGAAA